TGTCCCCAATTCTATGCTGTGAATAGAGCCTTCTGTACGCGTGCTGAGATTTCGTCACATGCCAGACCACAAGGGCTGATGAGACTCCCAACATGAGTGAAGTGGTCGACACGCTCAACTACTTCACTCCCTATCATGAGTTCGGATGTCGATGCCACCCAATACTGAGGCAACATTTTGCATTTCCAGGGGGAATCGCATCCCGAACATGTTTGCGTTGTTGCTTATAGCGGTCAGAAGACTCTGCATTTTGTCAGCGTCTTCACTAAATAGAACTATGTCATCGGCATATTCTAAGTCAACAAGTGAATCTCTCGGTAGAAGTTCAACCCCTGGAAATTTAGGTGATGAATGTGTGATCTCTAAGAGAAATTGCTATCTTCCTGGTAATATCAATTTGATAACCTATGTGTTACTCTCGAATTTCTCTCTAGTCTTTTAATAATACTTCACTGATCCTTCCATTCATAATATGCGACGTAGTTTAGACGTATAGGAAACTGCAGTTCAGGTTTGAAAGTTTTTCGCAGAATAAAATTATCGATACATATGTTTTTTTGATAATTTCATTATTACTTACATTGCATACCTCCGGTTTTCAGGTTTCTGGAGCAAACGTCCCGTAAAGCCAAATCGATGACAGATTGAATTTATTAGTTCTTGATTTAAGAGATATAAAGAAACAAGTTGAAAGTTTGAATAGAATAAATGCATTCAAGACACAATGAAAATGTTGTTATTCAGTATTACTTATTATTATCACTTCTTCCTTTAGCATTTACATACACACTGACTTTCATAGCCTGTATTTTTCGAGTGGTTATTGGTATCATGTTGAGAACGCTTAGTTGAAGCCTAAACGCAGGGAATAATCTTGATTCAACGACACTTACACTAAACCAAAATCTCATAATATGCCTTAAAATGAAACCTGTATGGGCATCGCAGAGTAGCGTGTACTAAAATGGTCACACGACTTAAGAACCAAAAGCTAGTGCCTCATTAAGTACCGAAGGCATCACTCGGACACAGATTACCAGTTCCAGGTATACTGGTTTGAAACAGAAAGATAGGAGTTAAAAAGTCCTAAAACCGTATGGTCGAAAACGCCGATTTCGGAGAATGATGCAATAAGGATATCTATATTATTTCTTCATCACTAGTTAGAACCAGTGATTTGACATTCGAATCCGATTTTCGTGATTGCCGTATCCATTGCCGCTGTCACACATCGGTACACAAGCAATACCAATAGTTTACTTTAAGTTATCCGAGTTCATTGTTTTTGTATATGCCCTTGGATTGCAGAGTATATACACCGACCCAACCCAAAAAGTCCAAGGCTTTATTAACTCGAAAAGCAACCGTACACATTCTTACATATATGACAAACTCAGAAGCAACCGAGATGAGACTATGGCCGCCATAAGTCACTGACCACTAAGCATATACTGAGGATGAGGAGAAATGGATAGCTGTTAGAAGAAGGAATAGTTCCATAGCACCTACAGCCCACGGCGACGGAGTAAATTCCTTAGTGCCACTCAATTTCCCACAAGTAGAAATTAATTTACTAGAAAAAAGGCCAGTCTTTGATGATCAATGATGGAGCGAATACTGCATCCTGCTAAGTGAGGCAAGTACCCTAACAAAACTTTGCCGTTTGTACAATGACCATACCAGAACCTTAACCAAACTTTCTCCGTTATGAGTTTCCCTGATCCTGCACATATAGCAGCTGAAGCCCTCTTGATATCCAAGCGATCGGCTATTAAACAGTCATCCAATATCGTAGTTAAACACGATAAAATGTTTTTGCAAGGAAGGCCAGAAGAAAACTGCGCCAGTAAACTGCAACTTGTTCATAGCCCAACAGGTGGGAGCTATAGTAGGGGAGCACTCTATAGGGTGACATAGAGCCTTTGCAGCAGTGTGGTGAACGTGAAAATTAAATAGGTGAGGTAAAAACATGTTTTCAGTCCATCTTAAAGATTATAGCTCACCCTGACGTCATTGGTGATGCACTCAGCGTGAATGAAATGACACTATTCGTATGCATTAGGCATCACAAAACAGGAGGCGGTATGGCGGTACAAATAACAACTACTTTAAAACCACAATACCGCTGACAATCAAAGTTGCATAGCTGCTAGAATCTTTCAGAATCTGCATTAACCCGAACGGGGCCAATTGCTTGGGTGAAGGAATATGCCGTCCACCAACACAAAATAACTCACACAAGTAATTGATAATACGTATTATATTACTACCACGTTTGAGCAGATACAATTACCAGGTGGCTTCAAAACTCCATCCCTTAATCTCACCACGTATTATACAAACCCAACAAGGTGGTTTAATTAATGACGTTTAATTCTCATTAGAAGTTGGGGAATGACTGAACATGTAAACGATGCCACAAGATGGAGGTCGGACAGAAAACATTAAAGACCAAACTATCTACCATCAAATGACCTAATGTTAGCTGAGGAGGCCAACATCCATGCATTACTAGGGAATATTGACCTAGGAAAAATAATTTTTAACGAGGTCACTAATGAGGTACTTCATAAGGATGCGAAGGCTCTCTGCAGTTGTTACATTAGGGCAAACTACACGATCGTGAGAAACCATCCTTAACACAATCGGTGACCACGAAAGTAATGAAGGATAACAGTGGATGACCACGGGGAGACAATAAGAAGTTTTTATTCTAAAGGCTGTCGTGCACAACGTATCTCATGGAGAAAGCACATGTGAAAAGAAAATATTTTGGCTTGAGTGAGGTAAAGAAGTCCCACTACATACAAAAAGGAGAGCTTGTCGCCGATGAAAAGTTTCCTTAGAGGATTTTGACCTCAGCTCTAACTTGACATGGAGAAATAGATCTAATTTCAGAGTAAAAAGCGTCAGGAGACCAAACTAGCGGATAAAATACAAGCCAACCCAAAGCATTTCTGTAAATTCATTTCCATACGGAAACCCATAAACTGGAAACATTGTACTTTCAAAAGGCCTAACAACAAAGAACTAAATAAAATGGTAATGACTGAAATCCCTAGTTCCGTCTTCTTTGTTTAGTTAAACGAAGAAACTACACATGCTGAATAATCTTCAACTCTAATGCCCGCAGGCAGTCTGCGAACTACCCACTTGACTCGCAATCTAGTGCAAAATGAACTAGAATTCTCGGGAAAATCACGACGTCCGCCCAATAGTCATAAAACCGGATACAATCTACTACCACAGCGGTGTTAAATCCGTTGAGGCATTCAGTAATCAGGGTGACCTTCGAAAACATGAAAACAGGTTACTTTCACCTCAATTTTCTTAAGAGTCGGCAGGAACAATCCAACCTTTTGGTGGTGGGGAAAGGACTAATGGTCGGCAAAATGAGGGAATCCACAGAAAAAACAACTTCCCTCACGAAGCTCGACACAGGCTCAGAAGAGCCATGTGCACTCAATCTTCTCATGTCATAAGACACCTGCACAACCTGCCGTAATCAAAAGATAACAGTTCGCGGAATCTGATTTGACACCACACTCACTTGTAAGGAAGATTGAGAAAATGGATTTCATTGAGCCAGCTCTATTCTAGCTCCTAAAATTTCCTCATAAATGTAAGTAGAATGCTTCCATCCTAAAGAGTTTCATTTCCAGGGGTCTCACATGAACCTTTTTTAGGTTCACTACTCTTCTGGATTCTAATTAATGACCATTTACACAAAGTCGGCACGATAACTTTCAGATATCATGAAGATGCCAGGGAGGTCTATAAGAAACAAAAAGATTGCCTTGATCATTAAAAGGACTTTAGAACAACAGGGAAATGAGTGGTGGATAATGGGTCCAAACGTAGCTCGTTCACATATAGTGTTATGAGCATTTAGCCCTACGAGACACAAAATACCTTAGTCTTGCATAATAAATCGCTCTCAATTGTTTTATCTGGACGCGATTTAGGACTATTAACCATATGAAGCTTGAAAACTAACTCAAATTACATTGGGGATGAAGCCAAAGTAAATATAGCCCTTCACTTTATGTGAAGACCACTTGATGCAGTCGCCTCGGAATTGTTCCTAACATTCCTTAAAAAGCATCCGAAAATTTGGATCATTCTGGTCGAGCTTAAAAATGGTGAGAGATCACCTAATAATAGTACACAACATACTAAATACGCCAAGTCACCTCAAAACGAACGTTATAACAGAATATCACCATCGCGTCTTGTGAAACAGACCTAGGAAATTTGCATGACAGAGGGCGTAAAAACTACGTAAAGGCCTACTTTTTATTTGGGGATGGCCCTCAATTCGAAATGCTGTGCCAACTGAAGAAGCCATAGCGCTCATTAATGGCTGGCCTAAAGAAGAGACTCAAAAAACACATACCCGCTCATTTCCGCTTTATTTTCGGCATTAAACTAAATAACTTCCTGTCTTGTACTGTGATAGCTACTGGTAACAGAAACCCTCCTGCCCTGAGACAGATGCTCTTAATCAGATTACGAGATATACAGATCCGAAAAAAATTACTTGACTGATCACGACCAATGCAGTTGAGTTGCTTAACCACCTCCCATTGAACTTCACTAAACACCTGGAACTATACCGGAACATTAATAGGTGAGTGAACGAAATCAATCGTTTTGTACAGACTTGTAGTAAACATATCTAGGAGGAATTTGTGTGACCTGACTATAACATTCATATTGTATGACAACGAGCTCGGATATGAAAAACTACCAGATCTTCCCCTCAGAACTTAAAACCATTTTGACAAATTAGTTACTGAATGCAAGACAAACCATCGATTTTACCGTCACTTCAGCCAATGAAATCGTCTCATCATATGTTAACAGGACTTATTTGTGAGGAATAAAAAACCTTTCTAAAGTTTTGCTTTTACTAGTCAAGATTGAATGACCATCGTGGTTGCGTTTTATTAGTCTAATTGCTTTATCTGAGAGGTGAGGCAAATTGATTTGTTAAGGAGATGAGGAACAGGGATTCTAATAAGTAAAGAAATCTATAAATTACTTGTTAAACTTTTATCAATGATAGAGAAGAGCTCTCCTTCAAAGCGCATCACATTGCAAGCTTCATAGAAGGAGAAGAAAAGCTTACAGCCTCTAGCGTTGTTCACCATATAAGCTTGTTACACAGAGGAGGTCGTATTGACGAGACACCATGTAAAGTCAGACTAGATAAGAAAGGAATTTTAATTGAATTAAATTCTTCGGAGGTAAATATATAAACCTCGTACTAACATATGTTCAAGGAGGTCGTGGAATTTTTTGAATGGTCTTCCATAAGCGACCAAGCAGCAATTTTCAAACGTTCAGAAGACTTTCAGTATGGATATTTAATACTTTTTCGGTGCTCACAGTATAATGCAGATCTCGAGCTTAAAGATTCTGAAGTTCACGTCTTTAGTTGCGAAACGAAAGATGATGCTAAACTACTGGTTGACTCGATATATAATCAGAAGAACTCAGCCCTGTAAGATACAAATCAAATTGATTTTATACCATAGCGGACTCAACTCAAATGGAGACGCTTCAAGAAGTCTTGAAGTAAATTTGAATCGCGGCAGGTCAGAAGAAGTGAGTTTATTTCCAGTAAATTTGTTTGTAAATATTTTTACATTATGCAAACGAACCCATTCATTTGTAAACTGATCAGTCTCAGCCTTAAACTACACAACAGAGCACGAGGAGGCCTAAGAGTTACAATTTACGCTTTTTGTTTAGCGTGGCATCGAAATGTCAAAAACTACGTCAGGATTACATCCACGAAATACATCGTAAGCAATTTGGGTTAGCTTCATCAAGTTTTTTAACAGAAGTATACTGATTCGGTGTACAAGTTGATTAGTTGGAGCACGATTTCTTTACTCACGTTAAACTAGGCTGAATGTATTTTTGTATCTGCCTCTCCCTAAATTTCTTCTCACTAACTTTGGTCTCGAAACATTAGCTTCATTCCATATATTTCAGATTATTTTAAAAGGTTATTCGGGAGAAGTTCAAAATAAGTTTGACATTATTTCAATAATTCGGTCAATATTTACGTTTAAAAATATCGTGTTATACCCGTTTAATCATACTAGATTTTGAAATGTTTCACACTGACTTCTTTAAAGTAATCTGAATAAGTAAATTTTGAAAAATCTTGAAAAAATACATTTAAATAACCTTAAATTTTACACAAAATAGACGTTTGTTGGATATTAATAAAATAATAGCACTGTCATTTTAAAAGGAGACAAATTAATTTCCTGAATTATTGTCAGCCATAGACAGCATGACGTCCTTACAGTTATAAGCATATTTCAATACAATTGGATACTTTAAATAAAGAACCTTTACATGATTTTACAAAAAAGAACAGAGAATTGACCTTTTTCTCCTTGGTAACCACATTTTAGTCTTACTCCTATAATACAGTTGCTTGATCTTACCTTCTCGCTTATCTCTATTCAGAGTTGATCTCAGTTTGTTTCCTCTTCGTAATTAAATGATATTGTAATCAGTTGCTCGCATTTTTATATTTTCGTTAATTTTTAACTCATATGTTTAATGTTGTCTGTAAATTGACTTTTTTAAGTGTAATTTCTGATTTCGAGGTTTAGATTCTTTGATCTCTCCAATTTGGTGTCCACTAGTTTCCTCGTTATTTTTTATTGTAGAGCTGTTTTGCTTGATTTAATTGTTTTTCTAACTCTCGTAGTTTAGCTCTGTCTATTTTTTAATGAAGAGATTTAGCAGCTTTATTTTACTGTTCGTTCTCTCTTTTGTCTCTGTGTTTAGATATTAGTTAACTATTCATATACAGTTGGTTTGTGAAGCGTTTTGGTAAAAATCGTATTGCTACTAAAAAGACAGCATTGACTTACGACAGTCAAATTGGCATGAGCCCCAGCTTTTAATTTATAAATAGCAAAGCGCTTGAGGCATTTCAATTACATTCTGAAATTTGGTATTTTATGAATTTCATACTTAATGATGAGTGGTGAACTATATAGTTATTGACAAAACTCGCAAATCAATACCTTTGGTTAAACGCCTTTGATCTTATCAATAAACAATAATCGTTAATAAGATATGCTTTACTACCGAAAAGGGGTAACATATATAAAATACTTCGCGCTTTCTCCAGCCTTTATTTTAAAGCTCCAGAAGACTGACATTCAGTTATCGTACATTACAGTAAAGTGTTTAGCAGAAGATACTCCTCGCAACAGTAGCAATACAAATCTCGGACTTCAATATACGTCTTTTATATCCACACCCAAAGTTTTGGATTTCAATGTTACAGTTTGAATAGGAACCGATGTTTGAATCTCTCCATGTTTTATATTTAACAAACGGTTTGAGTATTTGTATTCCGCTACTATCTTATAAGCATTCTCGAGGCTGGTAGTGGCAAAAGGTATAGAATGTTCTTCCAGTCGATGATATTAATTTGACAGATTTTTTGAATATTTGTTACTTGAGTTATGTTTGTGCAGAAAGGCTTTTGGTGAGTTGTCAACTAATTAGATTTTAGTGAGTTTTTCGCACAGAATTTTGATAGGGTTTCTGTGACCTTTATAAAAAGCAGTTATGTAAGAAATGAATGTTTCTGTTTGGCGATTCTGTATCACTAGTTGATTGATGTTATAAATTATTCTAAGAAGGTAATACCAACAAGAAGCCTAACAATAACTTTAAAATGTCTTAATTACGTATGAAAGCTGCTAACAACTTTATAGATTGGTGTTTTGTGAAAGACTGACGTTTTTACTCTTTATGATTATAAGTTTTTCTGTCATTCACAAGAACCTAAGAAGTGCTAAATACGCATTTGTTCTTCTATTTAATCAATTTAACTCGGATAACAACCCTCACGGGTGAATAATACTCTATAAGTCATAATATTTTGGACGAAATTATATACCCGTTGTATCTTACTCAACAAGTTTATCAAAATCGTTTTTAGCAGAATAGTACTTTGACATCATAATAAATTAATATCAAATAAGTGACATCTAAATCATAAAACAGAAAAGAAATATTTGACCAGTTCTTTATCATTTAAAATTGTCATACTTCATGGTTTTTTGTGTTATTTCATTTGACAAATATCTTAAAGCTATCCAACGTCTTCTGCACATACTTATATCAGTTGTATGTACCTGATGATCCCGCAGCATTTGTTTTGTGTTTCATTTATACGAGTGCAGTTTTGCTGACTACTCTTCTGATAAAAGAGGTGCTCTTTTACTATTTCGATTATTTGCCTTCTAAAACTAATAAATTAGCAATTGTCCGCACGGGAAGTTACTGAATAAAATGCAAATTTTGCTGTATGCTCAGTATAGTACTCACTAGTTATATCACGTGTTTCACCTGTATGAGCTTAAGTTTACAACATAATTAAATTATAAAATATCAACTCATACCGTATGATAAAGCAAATATCATGATTGTTTTCTGATAGGTCATGAATAAAAATGGACATTTATCTGCGAATAAGTGTCCGCTTAGAATCTCCTTTAAAAAAGATCTAGCATTTTTAAAAACATATAGCTATCTCCAAACTATAAAATCTTATCGACACTATAGATCACAGTAAATCAATTCAACACCCGGTAATCATTGTATGAAGATCCTTCTAAAAGTGTACCTGTCATTACTCAAATAGTTAAAAGATGGTCTATGTAAAAGAGTTGTCGACCAACGTAGGTTTACTCCAAAACCAAAACGAGCGCCCACATTTTTCTAGCCATGAGTTTTTAATGAGTCTGGAACATCCGACAGCAGACGTGTTTCACTTTAACCCGATTATACCGGATTTGTTTAACAAATTGTAACCTCTAACATATAGAACTTTTCGTCTTCACTTTTGCTGTTGCTTTACTTCTGTAAAAATCTAGCAGTTGTTGCCATTCTATAAAGAAAATTCTTGAAGTTAGCCTCAAATCAACAAAAATCGTGTCACTCCTGTCAATCTACAAGAACAGTTTCCGTCGATCCAAGTATGATTCCTTTTCTAATAGTTCGGAATAGTTATAAAATGGGGATTTCAATAGTCAACCACTTAAATCAACACACGAGCAAAGTTCACTAACTAACTGACATATTAGGGATGGGAAAACAACCTTATTTAGGGTTATGGCAGTTAAAATCGTAACAAAGTACTTTTGTTTAATATTTTCTGAAGATTTATTAACTATTTTTCGTATTTTTACAAGGAGCCACAAATCCAAATAAATCCAATCCGTATCACCTCCACTTACAGGTTTCTTGAGCTAAAACTTCTTGTATAACCTAAAATATTTCCGTAAACTTAAGCGATGTAATACCTCCTATGATAAAAAATGTCAAATAATGTCAAAAATCCTCACTTCTGGAGTTGACTACGTAACTGTGATAGTTGGCTCGAATCGATTACTTTTCTGTTTTTGGAGTAGACTTCTACCCTCCTAACTTCTTTTGAACTTCTTCAGGATAATTAATAAGTGAAATGCTTGCTTTTAAGTTTGATCTTGACGCAGAGTTTTCCAAGAGGTGGTAGCCTTATCTACAACCCAATGTGTAATGTGAGTAAAAAAGATAAGTACGGTTGAATTTCTTATCGAACTAAAAAGTCCCTTTGCTGTAGCTGCTTTTAAAACACTATGTTTAATATATGATTCTATGATGTACATAACTTCCATCCAATAGGTTTGTATTTATTTGTACATCAAAAAACATGTAAACTAATAGGTTACTCGATGAGCTCTTACATAATTCATCAATAATTACTTAAGTGGAAGATTATGTAGTTATACACACATATATTCTACATTTTCAACAACCAATCTTATCTACAGTTTTAAACTTGATTGTCAGAATAAGTCCTCAGATAGCCATCATAAACATTCAATAATAACATGTAAATGAACGACCTACCTAGTAATTATGAACAAAACTTAAATTGAATCCGCTATAAATTCGTGATTTAAATCATGAAAATTCTACAATTTCCACAAACCTCTCTATACCGATAGCAATTCCTAATCAGTTGTACATTAGGACGATTGTTTTACACATTAATTTTTCTTATCATGTATCAACTTTCTAACTCTACAATAACGCACTAATTAATATATTATCGATTATAAATTAACAAGGACAATTCATTTTGTTTTATTCTATTTTCATGAAATTTCTCATCATTACTATCACTATTGATTGTTTTATGATGTATAAGATAAAAAACCCAGTAAATTTTAGTGTTCTACTCTTTGAAATGAAAGGTCATAATCTTTTTTTCAATGTATGCAGATTTTTCGTAATTCAATGTTCATCAAACAAATCAGTCATTAAATTTGATTGATAGTAAATTATATAAGACAACAAAACTTAAAATTACTACTGAATTATTTCAAATTAACATTTATAACTCAACTGTAAAACATTTTATACTTTATTTAATTTTCTATATGTTGAAGACTAAATATCCGTAATTTACTATTTCAGCAATACTAAGGTAAAAGTATTGCTACATTAATTTCAAGTGAAAAACCCTTCAGTGTTTTTGTTATGAAAATTCAGTTCTGACGTTTTTATTTCCATAATACATTCTCGTGGAATTATCTGTAATACAAATTGTACTTGTGTATATACATTCATAGATACCTATTTACACTACACCCAGTAATGTACGAGTTGTTTAATGTTTGTTTTACACTGGCAAACTTTAAATATTATATCAGAACTAAAGAAATAAAGTTAGCCCTATAATTATATAAACAATCTGTCTTTATGACCAGGCAAATGATTATACATATATGCACATGACAATTATCTTAGTTTAAATCAACCACTTCGTCCACATGATAGCACTGACTGATTATTATAGTTTTCGTTAAATATCAACTCCCTATGAATAATACCTAATGAACAAACCTTCGAGTATTTTATCAATAAAAATAACTGCTTTGTTCAATATAATGAGTTTTGTGTAGTATGATATCATACCCAGCAGAGGGTAGTAATCTGAAAAATAACTCGTTGGCTTTTGGAGTAATGCCATCAAGTTTCTTGTATGCTGCAGCATTTCGTTGAGTGATTTTAAGTAAAGTTAAGATTCATGTACGCCTCCTTTTTATCACTAAAGATCATTTACACTCGTAATAGGATCCCAGATAAGATCATTATCGTTATAAAAGTAATCTGTTAATCAGGATGGAATGATCAAATCAGTTATACTTTCACAAAAATAGAGACCACGTAATCAAAACTGACAGAGAGTAGTTTTATCGAATTGTTCCATAAAGATGAAGTTAAATGTAGTTCAAACAGTTGAGCACACCATACCAAGCCGGGTATTGAAGTCATCAGTAGTATAAATGATAAGTATTCAATTCATTAAACCCGCCTATGTAGTTATAAGACTAAAAATGAGCTGATCAGAATATAAGTTTGTAAAGACTACTGCTTTATAAACGTCCTTCTAATAACCTGAAACCGATAAGCCAATTCAACAATTTTCAAAACAAAAAAATTTGTACATACCTGGGTTGCGCGTAACCTTCTAGTTGACTTAGAACTATTCTTTATGATATTACTATATTGAATAGATTGAAATACTTAAGGTCTAAAGGTTATGTACTAGAAAACCTCTGACCAAAGATAATAGTATTGGTCTCGGGAGTTTATTCTCCACTCTGACTAAAAATAACATTCGAAATGACATTTTGGCCATTCTTATTATTTTCTTGATAAATATGACATGACAGTTAACACCGTTGGATGCCAGCTCAGTGGTCTAGTTGGTTAACCGCCTGGTGCGAGACTGACAGGTCCTGGGTTCGAATCTCGCGGGGGACGGGATCGTGGATGCTCACTTTCGAGGAGTCCCACAATAGGACGAAACGGCCGTCCAGTGCTTCCAGGTTTTAAATGGCGGTTTAGCTTCAATTGACTCATGATCCCAACTGTTTAAATTAATTATTTTGGATGTAAAACACTAGGCTAGTCAGAATTTTTAATTATCCACTAAATAGTTAATGGTAATGGTTATGTTTTTGAAATATGTTTAATATGAAAGTATATGGTATATTTTCTGAATAACAATAAAATGACTACTTTTTGTTTCATTTTCTTTTCTTTAATTCTGTAAACAATGACTTACAACCAGTCATTATTGGCCTACTTAACACCAGCACATCTGATGAATAGACAATTGACAATTTTACTTCATCTTTTTATATAAACGTTTAAACTGTTTCACCAAATCAACAAATGTTAAAGTATTCCGGCTAGTCAAGAATACCTTGTATATTTAGGATATTTTTAGGACTATCAGTATTAATTTCATTTTTCAAATTCATTTTTCACCTTCCTCATATTCGTCAAGTGCACACAATAGGCTGTATCTTATCATTTTTATTAAACTTCTTCATTGGTACATAGCCCTACTGTGATATTTGACCTATAAATAGGACTGTGCATCTTGAGTAAATAATATCGTCGGAACGTAAAACATTTCCTTCACTGAATCATCTTTAATTTTTGTTCATTGACATAGTGAGTTAATTTCATTGTTTAAAATATTTCGATTTATTTAGCATTTAACAGTTTTCACCAATAAAATCCCTTTTTGATTACTTGTGGATAGCAAAAAATTATCTTTTTTCTCTTTGTTAAAGAAAATAGACTCTACAGGATATGATGGTGGAAGAAACTTTTATATGCTTAACCAATGTATAGACGATATAGAATGCTTTGAAAATCGTCTAGAGAAAGCGATCAAACGAAAATCGTCTTACAACAGAAATAGTTCAGGTTAGTTTATTTGTCTTTTTTAGTTTATACAGGGCGTATATCTAATCATCCCAGTAATAGATAGAGTCCATTCTGTTTGTTCGAGTAAATCTTTTAAGTTCACCAAATACGGCGAATCTGGGATTGATACTTTAGTCTATTCCTTCATTCTATTTCAGATAAACACAAATGATAGTCATCATTAAAATGATACAGTTTATTGTCAAATTAGTAAAACTGAAATTTAATTTGATTCCAGTTTCATAAGTTTGAGCAGGACAAGAAGAAAACGAATCCGTTTTTTTCATGACTTTTCATCAAATTCTAAACATATTAAGATTAACGTAGTAACTAGGACTTGCACTTCAGTAAGTGATTTATTTGAATAATTTGTAGGAAAGTAAGGTCAAAATGGCTACGACGTAATAGAAAACAATGAAATTCACGACGCCTTTATAAATTTATCAATAGCTGAGTTTTTTCATTCAGTGACTTAATAATACAGATATATTATCTACGGAGTTTTCTTAGGTTAGATTATTTTGATTTGCATATACTTACCATCGTTCTACACTTGTGATGGTTGCCCACCCACTAAAACACTATAGATAATAGTCGTCTTTTTTAACATTATCAGTTGAACTACATCAGTGTAAACAACTTATGAAATATTGTTAGGGCTACTAAAAAATGTAAAACACTAGTGAATTAATGATCGTGTTAAATGAAGTTCTTAGTACTGCCAAAAAAGTATGCCTTTTGATGTCTTCCAAAAACTGTTCGTCGCTGTTAAATCTTTCTAAAAAAAACATAGAATTGTTTTAAGTCATTTTGTTCATTAACGATAGTTAGAATTCTTTAACCATGACTTAATATTTATCTTATTATACCTTTCATCCTTTACTAATCTCAATTACATCCTAGTTTTCTTCTTACTTTCTAACTGGAGTTAATCCTTGTGTTTTAATATCGCCCCTAGAATACACTTTGGATCATATTAAAATCTTATATATAACGTTTAATTAGGTGTGAAATCGGAATGAAATTCTCCCTATGGTGATTCTATTAGCATATTTTCTTCAACGTTCTAGCTCTATTCTTCCCTTTCCATGATCTAGTATATGGCTCATCAAAAGTTGAACTAATTACAGTACCGTTCTGGAGATTCTATCCCCTTCATCACCCATTCGGCTGCTAATATACCAGCTAAGTTATTTCTCACCCTGGTTCTTTTTAATTCATAGGAGACAAGAGCAGAAATTTGATTTCAAATATTTTTGTGTCTCTCTAAACTGTTTATTGTCAAATTACTATCAGACAAATTTTTTCTTCACAAGATATTACCATAGCGCTACCCGAATAAAACTCATATCGTCATAAGTGTCTGATCCAATTGACTCTCAATAAAAGGGTGAAGTAAGCTGCTGATTATGACCTACCAGATGTACATAATACTCTAAAAGCCTTAATTAGATGCTGTACCCTTCGCTTGGAATACTAGATACTTAGAACAAATAAAATCTATCATGAAATATTTTAAGATTATCTCTTTTACGATATATCGTTGTTAAAATATACCACTAAATACTCTTCTTAAACTTTTATTATAGTATGATCATAAAAACCAAAGTGTGTTCAGATTGTAAAGACATCTTTGTAAAATCATTTCTGGATTTATATTAAAAGGATTGGGAAAAACTCTTATTTTTATTTATATACACGGGTAAATCCATAAATAATATGTAAGCTTCACTACAGCAAACTACAAATGTACATACTGATACTATCAATATAATATGACATTCACAGCTTCGTATTTTAAAATGCTAGGGTTTTATATTCTTTTTTGTTACCGCTTTAACTATAAATCACTCAGGAACTTTGAATATCTTCAGGTTCATCATTAAGCTAAATAGGATCATATGTGCTACATCGGACAATAAATTCCACTAACTATGTTAATTAAATAAAACACACATCATTTAAAAGTGGCTATTGTTCATCGTGGATATTTATGCCCTACGGGAGGATTATCTGAATGATTAATAATAATAATCAAAAATGATAAATTCCTCTTACGAAACTTGTTTATTAATCTGCTAATATAAATTGATTTGTCAGTAAATTGTATGAAACACTATGATACATTCTTAAGTGTAACCGTTAACAAAAATTTCACTTTGAAATAAAACTACAAATATTCACGCTAATTTTTATTGTTTCCCTAATGATTTACATTCTATTTAACTATCAATGAATTGTTAAAATTAATAATAAAAGTCACATGGTTTAAACTATTTTATTGCATAAAAGTATATGATAAGATAATAACAGTCAATACAGCAGTCGATGTATCAAAACCTTTTTATTCATTAAAATAATATGACTAATTTTTGTTAGATAGAAGTTGAAAATGAAGTTTGACAATCAGTGCTAGAAACACATTAATGATTTTATTAAGTGACTTATTATCAACTAGTTAATGTTTCATCTTCTTATACTAATGAACATCTTTTTTCTATCATAGTATTAATTTCAGTTTGTTAAAATGTAATATTGCTTTGTCAACAGTTGTTTAGTCATTCTACTACTTTTAATACAGTCATCAAAATATAAGGGTATTTCGCTCTTTCAAATAAATGCTTCCATTTCTTACTCAAAAATTTCACTTCAAATACCCACTATTATTTTACAAAAGTCAACTGAACGTCAAAGTAGTTTTAATGCTGATGAGAAACTTATTCCAACTTGTAAACAAACAGCTTAGATATCTTGTTTGACAGCCTTAGATTGTTTTATAAATTATTTTTGGGTAAATTTTGTATAAAATACAGCTAACGGTGTCAGTTACACATAACCGTAAATATATGTACATTAATATAACATTAATATATCTACATTACTTTTTCATGCAGTTATATATCTAGGATTTTTAAGATTCTCTGAATCAGGTAGGGAACATGAGTTTCAAGAAAGTATGAAGATAATACAAGAAGATAATTTTATAGCTAAAAGATTCTATAGTTTGAATTTTCCTCAAAATATGATAAAATCTCACAGTTGATTTTCAATGTAATGGTCGTGTAGTCTTTGACAGGACAGATTGTTTAACAATATATATTGTGGTTTCTCCATGAAGTTGTAGTCTAACTGCATTATATAACATGATTAAGTATATTTATGTGTTGTTTTTATCTTTATCCACTGCGTCCTAACGATATTTTTCATTGATTTCATGATATTTTTGTCATATCTAATCCCATTTTATTGAGTAATCAATGTGGTCACAACGAAAACAGCTAGTGGTTATCTTATTTGTAAATATTTCCACGTCATCATAATGCTGTTTAATTAGTAATATAGTCTAAACTATACATGTTGTCAGCAGCTTTGCTATTTTAGATAAATATTTCTTAACAGCCTATCAATTCGATGGGGATCAAACTGAAAGAGAAAAACGAATATTGCGTTTTTCATAATCTTGCTATTCATAAAACATACTCGATCTAAGCTATTACCATCGGTGTTAGGACTCAGTTTACCCATAACCATCTTGTCCAAACCAAAATTATTAAGTAAGCTGTTTTATGTATGATAATTCATCAAGCAAAATATTCACACTTTTGTCTAGATTTTAAATTTTAATATTACATTTTTTATTTCTCTACATCATCACGTTATAAATAACTAGGATGATTCTATTTATCTGACAATTTACTACTAAGATTTGTTTGATAGTAATTGTTTTCATAAAATGATGTCATCTAGTGAACCATTGAAGACTAGGTGACACTAGGTAGCAGAGCTTACAACAAATTATAACTGTAGAACACTTAAGTCCACATTTCCAAAGCCAGTCATTTCACAAAATAATACTTCCTTATTCCAATATTCACTATATTTCTGTTTACAATGTTGAACTCTACTGATCTTAGAGCTGATCAATGTCACGGTCATTACTGTCCACCGATGAGGACTGCCAAACTACAGCAAAACAAACGAAAATTGTTGCTTGGTTTTTCAGTCGCCTACATGCTGGTATCACTCTAACATTAAGTCAAATCGTTTTTCCAAAAACCTATATCTTAACGAAAATTTTTTGTTTTACTTTTCACTGTTGTTACAGTTACATAATAGTCAGTAAAGTAGTAGTCTGTACAATTTTGACCCTTGTTGTTTATTATTCGAGTTATATGTTTATTAAATGTAATTTAGTATTTTACCATTTAAACTTATCTCTTACATTTTGTCATAATTATAAATAAAATTCAATACCTTCAACGATTATGACAAATATGGAAATAAATAATGGGGGTTTAAAACAATTAGTCTCTTTGATAAATTTCTATCATGCAATGAGAAAACGAAGTTTATGTGATATATTTGCGCAATACATTTCGAACAATTTGATCACACATATATTTGTTAAGAACATTTATATATGAAAATTAAAAGGTCAACTAGACAGGTTAAAGGTAAGTCATAACAAAGAAAGAATAATAATGATAATAAAGTACACAAAACAAATGTGATTACCACTTTGGATAATAAATCAGTATTACCAGGGTAGGTTAAGTTTAAGGACAAATTGTTTTTGAACACACAAAGGGGGTTTCAATTTCCGTATAGCCAAGGCTTCAATAAACCTCAGTATACATCCTTGAAGGCTTTTGTATAACACTACAAATCCTGATTTGATGTCAACCTTATAATGATGGATAATTCAGTAAAATCATCAATTCTTACACCAGATCCATATGTTTAAATCAAAATGTTAATAATTATAAAATATCTATATGAATTTAGTTCTTTTTTTATTCAATCATTTATTTATGCTAAACAGTATAATATCAACAATTAGGTATCCTGGTATTAACTCAATTGATATATATATATATATATATATATATATATATATATATATATTCCCTTCATATTTTTAATATTAAAAGCAAAAAACAAAAAAGTTCACAATAAAATTCAAGAGTAATTTCATTTCATAATGACTCATAATAATTTAA